ATCACAAGCAGGAAAACTTATTTTACAACAGTTATATTCTTTCATGTAAATACTGGTTCAGTACCATGTCTAAGTAGACCAATAAAAGGGTAGAGAAAGTTTGGAGCAGCAACAACTGCAGATGTGGCAAACCCCAGGAACATGTTTACAAAAGTTCAATAATAATAGATTTGCTGGTTGCAGAATCATTGGAAAAATACATTGAGATGTTTGATATAGATATTCCTCAGCATTCATTCAAACTCCTCACTGGCTATGTACCTGGTGATTCAAGGACACCAAATACACTTATGCATTAAGGGGCAAATATGATATGTCTCACCAATATTTATATGGTGGCAAATCATATTAGCCTTACCGGGCAGACAAACTGTGCCAGGAGCCTCCTGAATTCTCCTGATGGCCTCTGTGGAAATTTTTTTCGTAATCTTCTACTAGTGGTCTAACACGTGACACAAAGATGACACCAGCTATTGGACTTCCAACCATTACCTCTCTGCCACGCATGATATCAACAGTAATTCCATCTAATACTCTGAAAGCTGTCTGCCCATAATTATATGTATACTAATACTGTTACTTCTTGAACTGGAAGAAAGAAAATATTTGACACAGTGCTGCATTATATTTGGACAGAAGGCAGTGTATTTGATACATCAGGTCATGCGTGCAGATACTTTCTTCAGTCAGTTCATAAGTTCAGTTTTTAAAATTCTGTGTTTGAACCCAAGTCAGTTATGACAACATTCATTCCTAAAAGAACTTCTATGCTCACTTTGAGCCAATCTCTATTACAAAAAATAAAGTCAGTAGTTACTGACCAGACAAATGGCTTGGCTCGTTCTGTTTGGCACATGACAATGTCAAGTAAGTTATGGTAGCTTCTGTATATACCAGGCTGTTCCAGGCATACATATATACCACTATGTATCAAGTGAAATACAATGCTGAGCTGACCACTATGTCTGTAAGTATTCAGACTGCTGCATACTTCCAGGTCAGTGGCCTGACCCAACCTGGAGTATGTTAGCTTATACCAGATGGTCCTTCTGTTTCCATTGCCCATCTTTAGGCCTCCTGCTTCTATTGAATATATGGGTGGCAGGTGCTGCATCGTTTCTCAGCAATGCATCAAAAATCATTGTAGTGCACTCTGTCGTATTTCTGACTATGGAATACTGTCTTACAGGTAAAGTTTTCCCACAATAACAGAAAGCTAGTGGGTATTATAGTGATAACTATAGCAACAAAGGAAGTGACATAGGTAATTTCCTGGGTACCAGATTAAACTTTATGGAGCTCACTTAAAACCTTGACAAATCTAAAGGAACTTGAAGAAAAAAATAAAGGAAAAACTCTTAACATTTCAGAAGAAATACTGTAACTGAAAACTCTTGGCAAAATAATTATAGTAATTTAAAGTTGAATTCAAATTCGATGACGAGGAACCCACTTTGAGACTAATAATGGCTGGAGACGGCTTGAATGGGTAATGAAGAAAA